AACAAGTTTACTTGCCTTATCATTTTCCTCCCAGATGTTTATCTTCTAATATTTTATTCTTAAATTTAGAGCTACTTTCTTCATGTTTCCCTTTCTAAGAGCCACTGTGCTTTTACATTTTTTATTTATAGTTCTCAGTTTTACCCTTTTCAGGTGAGAGATGTTGGACATGAAGCTAACATCAGGGTAATGGATGGTGCGTTGTTGCTCATGTGAGTTATTTTAGGGCCTGCCAGATCCTCCTCAGTGTTTGCCCACTGATAAATAAGGATGCTGAATAACTCTGTCTTTGTCCTGTCTGTTGTCCTGTCTGACCCTGCAGTGACTCAACACAACAGACACGTAGGATACCACACTGGACCTTTACAACCTGGTTCACAATACAACTGACGTGAGCATTATTTGGTTTAACCAGTTTTTTATTGCTGCTTTTGTTACACAGGTCACAGAGACCCAGAGAGCCTGTTTCTCATGCTTCCTGTGTATTTTCTAAGCATCTGGCTTCTGGTTTGCAACCAGTTGGTTGTTGAGTTGGTTCAAATATTTAAGAAAGCATGCTCACACGGATAATCCTGAGCTCTGAGATATTATCTTTAGTAAAGCACAATTGTTCTTGTGAATAAGTGTTAATTCCAATTCTTTCTGTAAGTTGCTGCAGAGTCATTTTGGTGTCCTCATGCTTTCTGTTTCACTTTTCACTTCACTCTTTTATAGAATTATGATCTTCAACTAAACTATACATCTATAGCGATACACAAAATTCACGGTTCGGTTCGATAATTTGGTGTCACAGTTCGATATTTTTTTTTTGATACAAAAAAATGTTCATGCCTTTTTAATTTGTCATTTGTTAAAATTATAAATAACTCAAAAGTACAGTTTTTTTTAATTTAATGTTGCTGAAACAACAAATTGAGAAATCACTCATCTTTGAAAAATTACAGAGAAATGGCTCTTTCCAAAATAAAAGTTATACTCTACGCTTCTTCTGGGCTATATTCTCAGCAGCATATTAAACAGATCAGGTCCCCATAAGGAGAATCATGTGCTAACGGCTGTCTAAATGACTCGGGTAAAGTTTGTAGCATGCGTGCTTGTTGTTTTATCTGCTTCCACTTGTCTTTGCACTAGGATGATGTCGGCGTAAATGTGCAGCTGTTCTCCACAGAACCAGCCAAGGTGTACTCTCAGTGGCAGGGGAACAATATGGGAACAGCACCACCAAGGCTGGAGACGGAGCAATACTGGAAGAGCATATGGGAGAAGGACGCAACCCATAACGGCAATGCTCAGTGACTAGTGGATCTGAGGGCAGACCACAGCAACCTCCCTGAACAGGGTCCAGTAACCATCACAGTGGCAGACATCCAAGAAAGGGTCTCCAGTATAAAGAGTTGGACAGCACCAGGCCCCGACATGGTTCATGCCTACTGCCAAGAGTGAACGAGAAAATGATTCACTGATCCACACCACCAGGATATACAACAATGATATCAGTATGCCAATCGGACTGGAGAAATGTAGTTGGATGATAATAAAGAGAGGGAAAGTAGTCAGAAATAAGGGGATCGAGCTACCAGAAGGCAACATTGCAGACATAGAGGACAGCTACAAGTACCTGGGAATCCCACAGGCAAATGGGATCCATGAAGAGGTCACTAGAAAAGCTGCAACTACCAAGTACCTGCAGAAGGTCAGGCAAGTCCTGAGGAGTCAGCTGAACGGTAAGAACAAGATCCGGGCAATCAACACCTACGCCCTGCCCGTGATCAGGTACCCTGCTGGGATAATAAGCTGGCCAAGGAGATAAAAGCCACTGACATCAAGACAAGGAAGCTCCTGACCATGCATGGAGGGTTTCACCCCAAGTCCAGCACCCTGAGGTTGTATGCTAAGCAGCAGGAAGGAGGCCGGGGACTGGTGAGTGTCAGCACCACGGTCCAGGATGAGACAACAAACATCCACGAATACATCAGTAAGATACATGGAACCCAACCATACATGGAACGTCATAACCAAGTGGCTGGCATAGTATACAGAAACATCTGTGTCGAATACAGCCTGGAAGTCCCGAGGTCAAAATGGGAGACGCCGTCTAGGGTGGTGGAGAATGACCAAGCTAAGGTCCTGTGGGACTTCCAGATACAGATGGACAAAATGGTGATGGATAACCAACTGGACATAGTGGTGGTAGAGAAACAAAAGAACATGGACGTAGTGATAGATGTAGTGGTTCCCAGTGACAGCAACATCTGAAAGAAAGAACACGAGAAGCTCGAGAAATATCAAGGGCTCAAAGAAGAGCTCGAGAAAATGTGGAAGGTGAAGGTAACAGTGGTCCCAGTGGTAGTCTGAGCACTAGGTGCGGGGACTCCCAAACTAGGCGAGTGGTTCCAGCGGATCCCAGGAACAACAACAGAGATCTCTGTCCAGAAGAGCGCAGTCCTGGGAACAGCTAAGATACTGTGCAGGACCCTCAAGCTCCCAGGCCTCTGGTAGAAGACCCGAGCTTGAAGGATAAACCGCCCGCAGGGGCGAGCGGGGAATTTTTATATATACAGTGTGATGCAAAATTTTAGACAATCTTGTTAATAGTCATTATTTTCCTGTATAAATCGTTGGTTGTTACAATAAAACAGTTAAATATATATAGGAGACACACACAGTGATATTTCTGAAGTGAAATGAAGTTTATTGGATTTACAGAAAGTGTGCAATAATGAGAAGTTGATAGGTCTCGGCCCTGTCAAGCTAAAAGAAACTGTTGAATCTTCAGGATCACCTTTAAGTGTATTTTACCCTGTATGGATAAGAGAAAATCCAAAATAACTAGCGCACCCAATTCTTGTTTTATAGAGTGATTAAATATGTATGCTGTACAGTCATTCCACCCTGGAAAAAGAACAGTTAAAAAAATTAAAAGCCTTAGAATTTCATGAGATTAATGCGCATGATGACTGTGTACTTCTGACCTTAACTGTATACAGCAGTCATCCCAAGGGATTTTATACTGTAAACTAAGGACCCCAGAATATTAGAGAGAGAATCCAAGTGATCGTATAATTCTCTATGCGCACGCATATGGTAACTGTGGGGGAGGGCTCCTTTAAGAGGAAGGACCAGGACTGGTTCTGCTGGTTAACAGATCTTTGTTAACCAGCAAAATGTAGCATTTGTAGCAGAGCTCACAAGCTGCATACCTTCTCACAACAATATTTACAGTATATTTGTGAATTGCACCATTCTGTAATCCCGTTTTTCCTAAAATGCAGAACAGAGTCCTTTCTAATAGAGAAGCATGGCACTCAGAGAATCCTGAATTGAAATCTGTGGGGGATTTTTGCAACAGTAAAGATGTGGTACCTTCACAAGGTAAAAAGGCTTTTAACCCCCAAGCAACCAAGTTGTTCT